ATATATTTATATCTCTCTTTTTTTAATCTTCTAATTTACCGTTATACTTTTTATTATTATATACTAAACTATAAGTTTATTTATTCTCTAAGTTTTTTTTTTCCTTATTGCTTTTCCAATTATTAAACATGTATTGATCCAAAATGTTATATATATATATAGCTTTCTAGTATATATACTCCAATATTAGATCATACAATATATACCTTTAATACCTTTAAGTATATACTTCATACCTGTTGAGGGTAAGTCTTAAGAATTTTCACTCACATTGGTAAATTGTAATGTTCACCTTACTTAATGGTGATGATAAACACTTGTATTTATATTGAAATAATTACATCAGTGACTAAAGAATGAAAAATATAAACCGTAAAACTAATTTTGTTACAAATCAAGAACTGAAATGAAACTGTAAAACTAATTCTGTAACAAATCACTAACTGATTGTAACTCCCTAAACATTCCCCCTCAAACTAATGGAGATAAGGACATGAGTTTGGAAGTAAGAAAGCAGAAGCGATCAACTGATAAAAGCTTTTTAAACAAATAAACCAGCTAAGAAGTAGTCGGAACAAATTGGAGACGAATATCCTTACGAAAAACTATCTCCCAAAAAAAATGAAAATCGATCTCAATATACTTAGTTCTAGCATGAAAAATAGGATTGGATGCAAGAAGAATAGAGACTTATGATCACAATACAAAGTAGGAGAAGAAGACAAGCAAATATGTAAGTCTTGCACAACGATCCAAACAAGTTCAGCCGTAGTAGAGGCAAGGGTGGGATATTGAGATACTGTAGACTATTTCTAAGCACCCCACGAAATTGGAGTAGAACCAATACATACAACAGAACCTGTTGTTGAACGACGATCAGAACGATCACCAGCCCAGCTAGAATCAGAAAATGCATGAATATCCAATGATCCTTTTGTAAAATGTAAGCCATGAGAAAGAGTACCACGAACATAACCTAGAATTCACTTAAGAGCAACAAGATGAGACAATAGAGGCTGATGCATAAACTGGAAAATTTTGCTCACAGTATAAGCAACGTTAGGGTGGGAAAAAGTAAGATACTGAAGAGCTCCCGCCATTTGGCGAAACAGATGAGATTCATTAGTGGAATAAGCAATCGAAGTATCAGTAGCCTCTTTCAAAGCACAAGGAGTCTTACACGACTTAGAATGAAGAAGGCCAAACTTGCGCAAAACATCAGTCGCATACTTGGTTTGAGTGAGAAGAAGTCTAGTACCCGTGGAGGACAACTTAAGACCAAGAAAATATTGAAGTGTCCCGAGATCAGTCATTTCAAAATGAGACTGTAAACGAGTAATAAGTTCATCAATATAAGAGACATCATTACCTGAGGAGAATGTCGTCAACGTACAATAACAAATAAGTAATTGATGAACTAGCTCGACGTACAAAGAGAGAAGGATCAGCAACTGATGGCACAAAATCAAACATTGAAATAATGTGTGTTGTAAAACACTCAATCCAGGCACAAGGTGCCTATTTAAGGCCATAAAGAGATTTGTGAAGACGACAAACATAATCTGGATGCGTAGAATCAACAAATCCGGATGTTCGAGACATATAGACTTCTTCAAAGAGATGGCCATGTAAGAAAGCATTTTTACATCCAACTGTCGTAATAACCAGTCAAAATTAACAGATAAAGCCAAAAAAAGACGAACCATATACTTTTTAACGACAGGACTAAAGTCTGTTCGTAATCAAGACCATGTTCTTGATGAAACCTCTTGGCGACGAGACGAGCTTTATAACGAGCAACATATCCATCCTGATTTCGTTTGATATGAAACACCCACTTGCACCCAACAGAATTCTTACCAGTGTTTTCGAGGTGCAAGGCGTACCGCAAGGCGACGAGTCCTTTAATCGCCTTGAGTCAATATAGTAAATGTCAACAAGATGCATAAAACAACCAAATTCTATAAGTTTAGTTCCAAATAAAGACAAGCAACATTAAGAAATTCTAGAGTCTGAAATAGAACAAAAAGTAAATATAAGTAATCAAAGATCATCATCCTCATCTAAATCTAAATTCTCTTCATCTTGGACATCCTCATAATCTTCCTTTTCCAATTCTTCTTCTTCGGTGTCATCATTATCATCACTAACCACCACTTGCACTGACTTTCAAACTTTTGAAGTTGTGGGGAGCAGGAGTAGCAGGCGACTTTCCTTTAGATCTTGCATATGTTCTAGTTTGCCTTATGGGCTCTCTAACACCACTGGCCTCGGCTAGATCTCCCCATGTGAGGTCGTCATCATCAAAGGCCAACTCATTTCTTCTTGACCATCTTCTTCTTCGAGTGTTCCGATCAACCATTCATTACTTTCATCAATATGATCCAAAGTAATTGGATCAAGTTGGCCTTGTAGAGTGTAGCGCTCTTTAAGTGCTTGATTATATTTTATATAAATCAAGTCATTAAGACGCTTTTGCTCTAACCTGTTCCTCTTCTTGGAATGAATCTACAGAATTATTAACGAATTTAGAGTGAAAAGTAGATTTTTCAATCTTCAATTAACAATGGAAAAACCAAATTATTCTCACTTACGTGTTCAAAAACACTCAAATTGCGCTCACAGCCAAAAGCGCTGCACGTTAGACTAAAGACTCTCATGGCTAACTTTCGTAAAATTGGAGCATTAACACCATAAAGAGACCATCATGTAGCTGTGCACATATTAAACAAATGATTTAGAATTTTAGTAGTTCAAACTTAAATATGTCTATTAAAAATTTAAAACTAAAAGTAATAAATAATGTCATTACCTGGTGTTTTAACACCCCTCGTCCTTATACATTACTCGAAAACATGCCTTTTGCTTCATTGTACAATTATAATTTGATTGAACATTGAACTTGATCATCAATAGATGGTATTAATCGTTCTATAACTTTGATCAGATCATCAATGACCTCAGGATCTTGCATAATTCTCTTTTTGTTGTCATAGAAAAGAGATGGATTCAAATAATATCCGATTGCATGTAAAGGATGATGAAGTTGGCAATCCCACCTTTTATCAACAATCTTCCAAATCGGTCTATACTTCGCCTCATTTCCATTAAAACCACTCTTAATAGCCTCCTTTGCCCTATCAATAGCTTTGTAAATATAACCCATAGCCGGTTTATCACCATCTACTAGCCTTAACACACGAACTAAAGAGCYCGATGCTTTCAAAGTATACACAACTGAATTCCAAAAAAATGGCATCCATAACGGTTTCAGCTGCTTTCTTCCCCTTTGGGTCTTTCTCCCATTTAGAGGTGGTCCACTTCTCAGAAATAAACATCTTCCTCAAATTGGCTTTATTTTTGTGAATACTGGCTAGGGTTAAAAATGAAGTTGTGAAGCGAGTCATTGCTGGTCTTACCAATTCATGTTGGTTAGTAAATTCTCTCATCATGTTTAGCACGTACAAGTGGTGGTAAATAAAACCACTAAATGCCACAGCCTTCCTAAGACACATTTTCACCTGCTCAATCTTTCAAATATCCTCCAAAATTAAATCTAGACAATGAGCCGCACATGGCGTCCAATATAGATGAGGTCACTTGGCTTCTAAAAGTTTTCCAGCTAGGACATAGTTTGAGGCATTATCCGTCACAACTTGGACAACATTTTATTCTCCAATCTTCTCCACCATGTCATCTAAGAGTTGAAAAATCTTTTCTGCGGTTTTGATGCATGAAGATGCATCGATGGATTTCCATAAACAATGTTTCAACAGATGAATGAACTAAAACGTTGATTAGTGTCCTATCCCTCCTATCAGTCCACCCATCTGACATCAGCGAACAACCATTTCTCTTCCATTCTACCTCATGATCGCCCATCATATTTTTTGTGTACTGTACTTCTTTTTTCAAGTACGTTACTCAAGCTTCATGATAAGGGCCAAATTACCCCACAACTTCTAGCATCACTTCAAAACTTCTCAAGCGAATAGTATTTAGAGGAATACCTACTTGATATATCCAACGCATGATGAATTGCACTGTAGCATCTCTCCCCTCTTTATCATATTTTTCAGTAATAGTTGATTGCTTCAACCTCTTCAATCGATTTCTATCATCAACAACTTTTCCAGGATGTTGTAAACAAATTTATCTATTGGCCCCTTTGGTCGCAGTGGTTTTAACACTGATGGACTACAAGAGTTACTACTTCCTCCTCCACTTCCACTTCCACTTCCACTTCCTCTCCCTCTCCCTCTCCCACCCATACTACTCACAAGTGGTTTTATCACTTGTGTTTATTCTTCTTCGCTTGTTCATTGGGGTTGATGTTGATCCACTACCACTACCACCAACTACTTCCATCTCATCTTCATCATCTTTTTCAATCGAAGTTAAATCTTTATATGTTGGGAGGGCATTACTCTCTTCCCTTCTTTAAATCTTTATATGTTGGGAGGGCATTACTCTCTTCCCTTCTTAATTTTGTTCTTGTTTGATACTCTTTCAATTCTTCTCTCACATTAGTTGGGCATTTCAAACATGCCTTTACATTTCGATTTCCCCCAACCAAATGGTTTGTTGCTCGGCAAACTCCACCTTTAGTAATTTTTCCACAAAACATGCATTTGCACGTGTTTGTATCTTTTGGATAATCCAATATGATGTATTGCCAACCGAGATGCTTGCGTTTGTTTCCACCTTCTTCCATTCTAATATAATTCAAATTTGGAAGATAAAAGAAAATGTAAAGGAAAGAGTCACTGTGAAGTGTGAAGAAAGCCAAAGATTTAGAAAACATTTGTGTGAAATGAAAGAGAGGAAACAAAAAG